GCTTCTCTAATATACTTCTTCTGCAAAACAGCATATAACATCACTTACATCCCCACTGAAAATCTCAATCCGGACCCCTCAGAGAGTTTCCAAAATAAAACACTTATAAAAACTAACATTTTTTTTTCTTTGAAAATGCAGCTTGGGACATTGGATATGAAAAGTCCAAGCTGTATTACTAAGCAAGCATAAATAACAACACTATTCAGAGAAGTTATTCATGGTCACAAGCAACAAGAATGTGCAAAAAAAAAAAAAAAAAAAACATTTTTAGCATGTCCAACCATGAGGTCACCTCTAAAAATGCTACAAACCAACCTGGGAGCCTGTGAATGAGTAAGCATTTTGCCCCTACCTTGAAGCCTCTGCATCACATTGGCAATATCTCGAGCAGAGTGACCATAGTGCCTGGGTGATGATGCCATGCTGCTGTCCTGAGGTCAGCACAAAGTCTCGTCCCAACTGCTGAGTGTCGCCTTTGCAGGACTCTCATGCTCTGACCAAGCAGCAGATTGTGTTGCAGTACTTCGGTGTCTTAACACTAAATGCTGAGTATCAGAACTGAATTATGTCTGGATTTGACTGTGTTCCCCCAGCACAAGTCATCCCTGTTACAGTAGGAGTCTGCAATCCTCACACTCAGCAAAGCTCCTCCCCTGACAGCGATGATGTAAGTGCATGCTGCATGTGTATGCGAGCATGTATGTGTGTGTAGTACACATCTTAAAGCCTCCCTCCCTCGCCTGAGTCTGATACTTCTGCAGACCAGACGTGCTCCTTGGTTTGAAGGCACACTGCCACCTGGTGTCCACATAATACACTTGCTGCATTCTGTCAATAGATAAAACAGAAAAAAATATATTAGCTGAAAATGGAAAACAAAATCAATTTTAGTCTATATTTTTTTGTTATAGTCAGGTTAAAAGCTTACAGTGTCCTAAAATTATGGCACAATTAGTTTGAAATTAAATCTTTGTCGGAGCCAAAGGAGCATCCCGCAAAAAACATCTTCCAGAAAATAGACACAGATGAGGGAACGTTCAGAAACGCTTCTCAATACAGTTCTGAAGACAGTGGTGCAAACATCAGAGGGCTGCCTCAAGACTGAAAATATTCACAGTCAAATCAGTGAGGAGCACCATTTTGACTACATAATTTTATCAGTGCTTATTTACCACTGGTCAAAAAGCAGAGAAACGAAACTCGACTCAGACCAGTAGTTCTCAACCATGCTCAACAGAATCAATTAACAGGCTTCTACAGCATTTATGACAGGTTGTGGAGGCAATATATTCACCTGAATCAGGTGTACTGAAGCAGAAAGACATGAAGGACAGTGGGCCTCAGAGGACCAGGATTTAAAAAAAAAAAAAAATCACTGATTTAAATATGAAAAGCAACATTTAAAATAGATTTAATTTGGAGCAACAACAAAATGTTTTTAAGATATAACAAACGAAGCAGGTGGAAAGTGAATTTGTCATATTTACTGCCTTTGTTTTATTAAAAACAACACGAGGTGAAGATTTGGTTTGCATTAATTAAAGCAAATAATGTGATAGCATAATTTCTGCCTTAATCATGCAACATAAATGCAGCTTTTAGACATATGGATATTTTTGGTTAACTCATAAATACACACAGTAAGTTACTACCTCTGTGTAATTTAAAAATAGAGTTAAACAAATGGCTTGAGATCTTTGTTTTCTAAATTACAAGGCAAGAACATATTCTTATTTATGCAGGTAAACTGATTGCTCCCGGCTTTTGACCCATCACTAAAATAATAGAATCCAATCTACAGGGTTAAATTTGGGGTTACTTATTAAAATCTGTACATTGATTTTAATCAGCATTGATGATTATTCAAAAAGCTTAAGTGAACAAGTTTGAATGTATTTCTTTTTTCTAATCCACTCAGTAGAGGTGCACCAATGGACCAGGCAAATGCCTTTTTAAAAAAAAAAAAAAAAAAAAAAAAAAAAAAAGAGCAGTCAGAATAAATAAATAATCACCAACAAAGACAAAAACACACTTTTGTCAATAAAGACCTCTCAGAATATATTCTCCTAGATGTCCTGTGTCACCACAACAGATCAATGCCCGTCTTTGAAAGGCAGGAGGGAGGTGTGATGAACCACCGGGCTCTGAGCACTTATCGCCATGTGTAATCCCATTAGACCAGACCTTTCATCATCCTCTCCGGAGACTTCTTAAAGGACCTGAAAGCACTGCTGCAGAGTTCTGGCCAACAGTGTCATTCAATAAAGGAAGAAACCACATGAAACACAACAACTATTAAATTAGCATTAACTGGAGATCCTGCAGCTTTGGCAGATGACTTGCAGCAGGCTAATGAGGTGGGTATAACGAAGGGAATCACTAGGCAGCTCAGAGAAGAACACTTGAGTTACCAGATTTTCTTTTTTTTTTTTTTCTTTTTTTTTTGCAGCCTCCAGGAAGCTTAATAAAAATGTTTTTGTGAAACTACGTTTAATTTCTAAGTTTCTAAGTATTGCGGCTGTGAAAAACAAAATTCAGGATAAAACAAAATAAACGAGGTCCATACTTTCCCCACTTACTAATAATAATAAATGACTGAATGTGTCCATCTAATGTACAGACCTGTCTGTCTGTGCCTGGGGAATGCGATTTATCTTTAACCACCAATCCGAATTACCCATGTCAGCTCTTTATCACAATACATGTACATATGTCAGAATCTGCAGTTTGTGTTGCAAGATTGGCAGAGCACTCTGCAGCAGCAACTGCAGCAGCAACAGCGGCGGACTGCTGATCCCTGCATTTTCACGCAGCGAGGCTTGGGGTGACCTCCACGGCTCAGAGTCCCTCAGGAGCAAACGCATTCAGCACGAGAGCGAGCAGAGAATGCAGCAGAAGAGAGCAGAGACAAAGCTCGTGGGTCAATACAAAATCTTCCAGCAGTTGCAAAAAAATAAAAATTAAATAAATAAATCCCAACCCTTTTAAGATCCGTTTTCTTATCTAATCACTGCACAAGCAGAGAGCTGGGACCGAGACTGCCAGAGTGGTAATCTCTTTAATTCTCAGTCAGCACTTTTCTAAAACCTCAATAGAAAGTTTGCTGCTAACCTGCATGTCAAAATCAACACAGAAGCATGAAGGAAATGCTGCTCAGCAAATCCATTTTATCCTCGAAGAACTGTGTCAAAGGAAACACGAGGAGCAACTATAAAATACACACATTACTCGAAATACGGTTTTGATTAAGCAAAAAGTAAAAAATAAAAAATCCATATTTGTAATCTCTAGCACAATAAGCAGCATTTCACCAATGTTCAGGAGAAAATCACTACTAATAAATCTAAATAATAACATTAGGGTCAAAGATTATTTTGGGGAATTTTCAATGCTCAAATAATGTCTGGAAATATAGAGTTTCTGTAGAATCACACTAAAATCCAACAGTGCTTTTAGGAAGAACATGGGTTTTGTGGCTTCCTGATGAATTTCTACACTGCAACTGAATCACATTTGTGGAAAGCTGGAAAACGCACATTGCTCACAATTCTGACTTTTAACTCGCCACAGGGGGTTTGTGTCTGAGTGAGATGGTTTTAAGTCCAAATGCGGGGTTCTGACATCGATATCGATCAAGATGAACCATTATAACCAATGGAAAAATTCAACTGCAGTAGCCACCTTCCAACCCATAGGGGGCAGCATTCAGATGGTTTTAGGGAAAAATATTAGAATTAAAACAGGTTTTCACAAAAAAAAAAAAGTCACAATTTAAAGGCAGCACTTTAAGGTCCAAATTATACAGTTTATCTGAAAAAAATAAGTTGATTTTGGGTTTAGTTAGTCTTTAAAGAAAAACAACGACTTGCTCAATTTTTTAACATTTAGCAATCAAAAATAATTTAATCAGAAACTTGAACTCAAAAAATGTGTCTTTTCACACAAAACATGTAAACATCTGGTTTTCACTGTAGGTTGAGGATTTTTGATGTTATTTTATAATATAAGAGACAAAAATACAATACATCCTTCAGCACAGGTTGAAAAACTGCTAATTACTGTAAAAGGAAGTCTCAGCTAGCCATAAAGCTAAAAGAATGTGTTTGATTATAAACGGAACAGAAACCTTCACTTTCTGTATTGAATAAAACAATAACCATGCATACCAATTCACACAGTGTTGTGGGTGGTTGCTGGATATTTTGTACAGGTCTCACAGCTGAGCCAACAATTCAAGGAAGTTCAAGCAGTGGCCCTTTTTCTTTCTCTCCGAGGCAGTAAAGTAGATTTAGGCTTTTTTAGCTTCTTGAAGAAATTCCATCTATGCATTTTCACACAATGTGTATGTTAAGCATAATTCGACTGATGTAGAAGGTAAAGTTAGAAGACCATTAAACTTTAGAAGTTGTTTTAGGAGACGATGACGGGGCAAATGGGCTGACTTATTCTAATTGTGCATTGACTTGCTTTATAGAAAGAGTAAGTCCAGTATGAGGGGATCCGAGAAGGCATGGCTTGTTAAATAAACAAACATTAAATCGAAAAGAGTATGAGTTTGCTTATCAAACAACTACTAATGTTTTTACTGGAGCACATGACCCTTCAATCCAGACGCCGCTGCCCTGGCAGACGCTGCGGAAAGACTGCGCTTACCAACAAAAATGCTGGAATTTCTGCAGATATCCAAATGCTGACAGGCCGTTAGGAATGTACCACAGTAGTTTCAAATGTGCACCACTAAAATTCAAGAAACAGAAATCTCCTCACTTCAAAAAAAGGGCACTTCTAGAATTGAAAAATTATGTCTTTTTTTTTGTACGAGGCAGAAATATTGAACAGAAATATTTAATATCCCTGGGTTATGTTGTGATAACTTTTTTCCACCCCCATTAATCAACCTTAAGGAAGTGATGGGAGAGGCAGTGATTACAGAAACACCCTGTCTCCCCACCTCCAGGATCTCTGTCCTGCTTAGATAAGCCACTCCTGTTGCTAATTTCAAGCAGAAAAGCAGGAAATGTGACAGTGTAGTTTTCCGCTTCCATAAACAAGATGACTGCCAGGGTTCGCCGTCGGTCCTGCGTGCCTCTGAGTACAGCCTCTCTCGGAAAGAGTCTCAGAGAAAGTGAGTGAAGCAGCAGAGAGAGAGAAAGTAGGAAAACAGGAAAAGGGACAAGGCTGAAAAAGACAGGAAAACCCATCAGAAGAGGGGAAACACTGACAAAGAGGTTGCAGGGGAGAAGTGGGGGAACAGGAGTTTATAAGACCGGCTGCACGGGGGATCAGTTTCTTTTCTTGTCATGGCTGAAAACAACACAAATGTCATTCTGGACATACTGAAGTCCTTTGATGCTGGTGAGTTTTTTTCTTTTTTTTTTTTAAACTTTTGCTTCCCCTTCCATCGCTTCATTTGATGTGGTCTCCTTGGTTGGCGCTTTTTTTTTTTTAACTCAAGAATCTGAAGCTTTAATCACTGCTAAAATGGGTACAATATGTTTGCCCGGGTTCCTTGTGAATAAACAGTTTGCTTTCAAAAACTACCATGTTCATCATCGTCACAGTTTAAAATGTTTTATTGTGTTAAAAGTTGTATTTTTCCTCAAATACGATTTGCAGATAGTGTTTTAACTTGTCGGCTTTTCTCTGTGCAAAATGAGAGGGGAAAAAAGCCAGTGATTCTACTAAACATGAAACAGAAAAGGTTTTCTTTTCAGCAAGTGGGATTGTCTTGAAAGGTATTGTTTTAAAGGTGTTACGTTTTTAGATGGATAATTGAGGCTGCTTAAAGTTATTCTATTTTATCACATCACAACCTCAAATGCCAACGCATTTTATAGCAATTTAGTAGACCAGTACAAAACACCACATAATTGTGAATTATTAAGATATATAATGTACAGTGAGATTATTTAGCTTCTCTAAACTAATACTTTGTTGCATAGACTTTTTGGCTGCTTCTCTGATAAATGCTCTCCTTGCTCATTCAAGCAGTTCAGTAGGCTACCATGACTGGCTATGTTTGCAGTTGTGCCAAAGCTTGTGCTTTAAAGTTCTCCACAACTTTCACTTACGTTCGCTAACAAACGTCTAAAGCCTTCACAGGACAGCTGATTAATGCAGAGATTACAGGTGGACTTCGTCTACTAATGAAGTGATTTCTGAAGACAACATGTTGCACTGGATTTTGTTGAGTTGTATTGTAGTGAAGTGGAGTGGATGCAAACACACACTGAATAGTAATTTAGATTATTAAAAACAAAATGTCCTTTCAACTTCTCTGGTCTTTATGGTATAATACAATACAAAAATAAAAATAAAAAAAATAAGGATTTTTTTATTTTTTTTATTTTTTATTTTCACAGCTCCTTTAATTATAGCGTTCTGTGTATCCATCGCTGTGGGCCTACTGTTGGGTGCCACGGTTTACTTGATCCTAACCTGGATGTCCCGACGCAAGGCAGGCTCTGCCAGCATCACCCGCCGCCCACCCCGCCGCTCCCAGAACTCCCCTCGCAGTCGCCCAGGGTTCAACCGCAGCAGCAGCTACGAACGTCGCAGCAACAACAGCTTGATAAGCGCCGCCTTCAGCTTCCATCGCCCGACTTCCTCCCCAGATCACCTGGATGCAGTGGGGCATAAATCCAGCTTCAGGGCCTCCACCTTCCATCCCCTTATTCAGTGCAGTCAGATTGCGAGGGAGGCTGAGGAGGGGAGTCAGACCACGCTGCCTCGTACGCCACCTCTGACCACCTCAGCTGGATCGGCGCAAACCGCTGCAGAGCCAGCGGTCAACCGCTCAAGACCAGAGTCGTTTTGGGGGAACAATGGTCTGAGGGGTTTGGGTGTGACGCAGACCCCTCCTCCAGCTTATGAGAGCATTATCAGGGCTTATCAAGAAACATGTACCTGAGAGGAGTGAGGAGACTTAAATAACTAAGCCCTAATGGATTAATTAAGTGCTTTTTCTGACTTGGATGATGAGATAAACAGCGAGGATCTAAAGACCTGCTCGAGTTTTGCAGTGTCATTTCTGCATCTCTTCATTTCTTTAATTAATTGTCATTACTGATTAAATAGATAATACATGTGAAACTGACTGTTTACTATGTAAAAACTAAATCATTCATAAAGATGCTTAGCTTATATTTAGATTTGATTCAGAGTTAGAAATGTTTTCATGGGAGTTTATTTTAGTTTATACTCAAAATGTAGAAACATGAAGCATTATTATTGTAGGAAATACACATGAAGCTCAAATGAAGGAACAGTAAGAAACTATGCAAAATGGCACTTAAGACAGGGTTAGATCGGCCAAATAGTCATTTGTATGAGTATTTTTTTGCCCTTCATGTTCTTACAGTCAGTCTCAGTGGGTGTTTATGAAAAATCCTAATATTTGTGGGTTTAGATTACCATGATCATTGAGTGCATATATATTTATAAATACTTGTAGGCTGACTAAAGATATAGAGGCTGTCTAAGAGGACAAGTTTTGGATGTGTTATTGCTACAGATGCCAATTTTTTTTTTAATCTGTGTATATGTGAGATTGCAAATTTGTAAGAGATAATTGATCATTGACTATAATAAAACAATAGATTTTTAGCAACTACACCCTCACTTCGTGGATTACTCAAGCAATAATTAGTTTTAATTAATTGGGAGAAGTGTTGCAGATTCAGTTTTTATCTATATTACCTAAAAAAGTTTGGCATAAAGACAATATATGGCAAATGTTGGAGCACATGAGGTACATTACTTTATATTCTATAAAGAAAAACCAAAGGTCCCCGTTTATAAAAATACTTTTCTAAGGTGGCTTGACATGAGTGAGCCATGCCAGACTTTGTCAAGGGTTTTCAGTACCAATAGTTTTTCTTTACAAATGAATTATTCAAAAACACAGTATTTCACAGGTCTCAAAAGAAATTTACAATCCTATATGATGTGAAGTGTTTCAATGTGTTGGATTTCTTGTCGATAACAAACAGGAAATGTTATGACATCAGTGATTTGATAGCCGAACCTCTGACCAAATCCTCAAACCCAACAGCACAACAGGAGAATTTGAATAAATCGCCCATACATCCATCCATATTTGTTTCTGGTGTGTTTCAATAACTGGATAACATCATCATATACAAGCTTGGTATAGTTTCTATAATATTTGGTGTCATGTTCTTTGTGTATATTAAGACATATCTAGATAGGATCCTGACAGTCAGTTTTATAGCCTTGATAGTTTTGACCAAATCATAAAGGCTTTTCTGCAACAAAATGTTTTTTGTTTTTTGTTTCAGAGTAAACATGCATCAATTAGACCGCCCAAAGGGTGGAGGGTTGGGAGGGTTAAATTTGAAACCCTCAGAGCCTCTGGAGCAATGTTTTTCTAAAGATTGAGCAACATGAAGAGGTATTTTATGAACTCTGTAAAAGATATGGAAATGTTGAGATGAACAGAAACAGAAGAATATGACAGCATTTTAAAGTTTAAATGGCGTTCCCAGAATTTTTCAGAAACTATGGGATGTTGCATTCATTTCAATGGGGCCCAAGATGATCACAAAAAGCTGAGTATTTCATAAGGCTTAAAAGTTGTCAATACCAAAGCCGTAAAAAAACAAAAAAACAATAGCCGTAGTGTTTTGAATGCGCAGAATATGGTAAAATTTGAATGGTTAAAATAGCACAAAGTATCCATTAGTAGTTAACTGGCGAAAAGTGTACGGAAAAAATAGAGGAACTCAGGAGTGTGTGAACGCCTACAGCCTCCACACTAATAACTAAAAAGCCGTTCAGGGTATTAATTATCAAACTCTATAAATATTTGCCCTCCCGACCCCACTGAGGGACAAGGGTGTTCAGAAAATGGATGGATGGATGGATAAATATATATTTGCTCACCTGATGATCCTAGGTGACATCATAGCGGTCGATGACGTATTATTTGTGAGACGAAGATTCTAATAAACACCAGCTGCAGCTTGAAGAAGACAATAAATACATTATTTCTTCTAAAGGTTAACCTGTAATACTTAAGGTAACTATACTATCTAGTTGTTAAAATGAACCCACAACTTATTCGCTGGTTAGCTTTGAATGCCACCTCTGATTTAACTATTAGTGCGAGCTGTAACAGCTAGCTAGCTAGCTAGCCGTTAATGTAGCTTGCTTTCGTTAGATTACTGCTGCGTTTCGGTGTGTTAGCTTTCCAAAAGATGTCACTTTTTGGTGTTTTATTTGTGTGTCACAAAGTGAAGCATGTTTGCTTCAGGTGAATAAGCCTATATGAAGAAACGCTATACAAGTTACAGTTAGCTAGGACTGGTGTTGACTGTCCTAATGCAATTCATATAGTTTATTTAACACAGCAAACGTTCGACACCCATTAATACACCTGGTTTGTGAAATCTATCGGTTTCTTTGTTTGTTTTGTTTTGGTTGGACTGATGTAGAGGCAGAGAGGTGGAGGATGTCTGTAGCAGCTCTCCGTTTGATCCACTGTAGAAGATTGAGCACAGCTGGGCCACCTGGTGTGAATAAAGTGTTCCTGTGGAAACATTTAAGTAAGACATCACACAATAATGACCTACCACATTGGTAATCCCCAGCTAAAAATGGGAGCTAACATTTAATACATTCATGTGCAAATCGTTGTGATCTCTAAATTTATGTTGGACCTGGGAATTATGTTTCTCTTAAAACTGAGAACAGTTTTTTGTTGTTTTGAGACCGAGTCTTGCCTGGTATCTTATATCCTATTCTTCCAAAACAGCACGCATCACTTTGAAACAGTATTTGCTTCCCTTTACCTTTATTATGTTGAGATTTTATTTTTTCCAAGCAAAAAGTAGCATTTAACTGTGAATTGGAGGAAAAAGTGTACACCATTTCCAGGACGTCTTACAAGTGAAAATCTAAGTGTTGCATGCATTTTTATTGAGACGCCTCTGAATAAACCTCTATGCATGCGGGTAGAGGGTGACTCACCTGATTTACCTGTCATCACAAAGACCTTAAAACACAACAAACATTATTACAATTACATTAGAACTACCCAGTCAAAGTGCAGACCTAAATTCAATGCAGAATCTGTGGCAAAACTTAAAAAGTGTTCTCTTTTGCAAAGGAGAAAAGGAGAAAGTTTGATTCTCTGGATGCGCTAAGCTGAGATAGACATGACAAAGGATCTGAAGCTGTATTGAGAGGTGGTTCTACAAAGTATTGGTTCAACATGGCAGAATTTAAAAGTTGATCTATCATAAAATGCACTGAAATTTGTGCTTTTTTTGATGATTTCCCCCTTTGGTCTACTCATTTTCAGTGTTGCTTTAAAGCCTAGAAAATAGTGATTACTGGTTTTTTCCTTGCTCCTTGTATACAAAGGACTGCCTTGACGGTAAAAATATTTGTAATGATTTTTTTATTCCTTTATTTTTGTATATTTATTGTATATTTACCAAAATGTCTTCTGAATATGTATTCAGAAGACATTTTGGTTTTTAAACCTCTGAGTGGTGAACTCATCAGTTTTACTATGAAAAGTTTCAGTACCTCTAAAAAACATTTAGACCTAATTGCCAGGTAATCTAGCTCCCATTAAATTCTAATGTTTCTTTTTTTTTTACAATTAAAAAAAATCACTGTCTGAAAATTATTTTTCTTTTTTGTCATGTTAAATACATAATCCTCCATTCTGCTTCCCAGTTTCAACAGAATTTGATTGTTCATTGGACACTGAGTTATGCTCATAGTAAATAAATAAATTAATTAATGCTTAAGTTGGAGTCTGTTTAAACTGTTCACTAATATTAACTTTCTTTTCCCACAAAATTTAGGAAAAATAGCTAAAGTAACTAGCGCAGTTGTCTTTGGGTAAGTTGCCGTATCGCCATGCCGATTTCAACACTTAAAGTTTGGCGTTTGTGTAAGACAAGTTGTCTCTGAGACGTTGTTTTTCTTCATCCGTCTCTGCAGGGGTTGTCTGTTTATCACTTATGAGGTATTTGCCTTAGATAAGTCTGTGACCATCAACACCAGTGCAATCCTTCAGGAGAAATACAAGTCGTACATTTATCTCAGTGCCACATCCTCTACCGAAAGGGAGAATCTGACTGCAGGTAATGATTTTCATTTATAGAGATTTTCGTGCCACATAAGCAAAACCTGTAAACTGTTTTTGTAGATGTGTCTTGGATGTTGTTAGACGTGTGATATTGTCTGGAGTAGCAGGATTAGGCCTGGCTGAGTGTCCTTATGTATTTTGGACATGATTAGTTGTGTTTCCATATCCAGTTGGACCATAACATCTGGTACCATTTCCCTCTCTCTTTCCTTCCTCCTTCTACTCTATTTCCTGTATGAAATTTCTGGGTCAGTCTGTTCTATGATCTCATTTTTTATAATTCAAGGTCAACATTTTGGGACAAAAGGCTCGAAACAAACTGACACTGACACTAATTGCTGTACTCAAGTTTTCCAAGTTTTCACTTATTGTGTGAAGTTACTCTTTCACAGAGCTCACACAAATAGCAAGGAGGGAACTTCACAAAGCAGCCAGAAGGTTTCTGGAAATCTCCTCTATGCTTTTCCTACAGTCACTAGACGGTAAGAAAATCAACGCTGCTTCAGGGTTATGTAGGAAAATTCTGTCTTTAATTTGAAGGAAGAAATGTGATACTGCTGCCTAAAGCAGCAGAAAGGGGCATTTATTTGTCATTGTGGCTGTCTGTTTATATTAGGACAAAGGAAACACCTGCCTTAGACATGGACATCCTGTTTTTGTGTCATACGTACCTTTTTGTATCATACATCAATGTGTGTAATCCTTAGTTGACACTTTTTTGAGTTTCTAGTTTTTATGAACTAGTGTTCAAGGACAAAATGTTAACATTTGAACTTTTGCTAATTGTAAGCTGCCAAGGCGACGAGACGGTTTTTCTCGCTACGAGGTTTGTGATGGAACTCCCCAGACGTTGTTTTAATCTAAAAGCAGAATTGTAGATTAAGATTATTAGACATAGACTGGGTTTAGTTCCTTTGTGCACTTATCTGTCTTAGCAGCACAATTTCACTTTGCTGTATCGATATTGTGTTAAGTTAGTAAATTGATTTATTGTCTCTGTGTCTAAGAGCACTTCAGTCATGTGGATGCAGACCCACACGAGGTTGCACTATGGCTGCTTCTTAAGAGGACACAGTCACCTAAAAAGGCCGTAAGACTTCAGGCTGTCCAGGAGCTTGCAGAAAATTCCCACTGGCAAGGTAAAAACACAATTGGTGGTCTTCTACATTTAATTTGCATCAACTCATTTGGCATTAGAGTTCAAATGTCTCGAACAATGCAGACTACCAGTATCAGACAGCAGCCCAAGTAATCGACCAGCGAACAGCAGTGGGCCTGGCCCGAACGCCTCAAGTAGACCTGCGATTCTTCCGACAGCCGCCTGCACTGCCTGATTTAGAAGATGTATGCATTTCTATAAAACAGTATAATCCTTTTATAAGTACACATTTCCATACCATGGAAAGATGTGCTGCCAACGGCTACCAACAGCGCTTTTGTCTGCTTAGGGTGTGTCAGCAGAGGATGGTCTGCGGCAGCTCTTGGCGTCTCTGCCTCTTTCTGAGGTCGACAGATGTGTGCAGTACTTCACCTCGCTAGCACTCAGGGAGAGCAATCAGTCTATGGCAGCACAAAGGGTATCGTCAACAAATCAATGCACAAGCTTTTGGGGATTTAATGGCTGGGAAAAGTTAGAAAACAGTTGCATTGATTGGTGTTGCAGGGTGGTCTGTGGTGTTTTGGGGGTAATGGGCTTCCCTACGCCCAGAGCCTCACCTCTGTTCCCTCAGAAAAAGCCGAGTCCTTCTGTCTGCAAGCACTCGTACAGCACTCAAAGGTAATTACACATAGACTGTATGTGAATTCAGTTCAGTGGAGAAGTCTCTCAGACTGTGACTGATACCTTGTTGTAAATCACAGAAACTTGACTGTGTGCTCTGCAGGTGCAGAGCCACTGTGACCGCATCGTTGAAAATGGAGGTCTGCAGATTCTTCAGAGACTTTATCAGCTTCGAAGGGAGTCCCTGAAGATCCGGAGGAACATTGTGCGGGTAATAGGAAACCTGGCACTAAACGAAAGTATTCACCAGGCTATAGTCCAGTCCGGTAAGTCAGTCCCCATTTCGAGACATGTTTTTCTATCCAGACATTACTAACTTAACGGTACTTGCCTGTCTTTAGGTTGGGTGTCTGTGCTGGCCGAGACGATGAAGTCTCCTCATGTGATGGAGGCGTCTCATGCGGCTCGGGCTCTGGCCAACCTGGACAGGGAGGCAGTGAGGGAGAAATACCAAGATGGCGTCTACATCCTCCACCCACAAACACGTGTTGAGTAGGAAGATGATTATAGTTTTATGCTAAAATTAGCTTCATTTATTTTCTAAATACAACTAAACAGTCACTTTTTGACTTTGTCTATTTTCAGCCAGTCAAGCAAAGCAGATGTGCTGTTCATCCATGGGATTCTAGGAGCAGCTTTTAAAACATGGAGGCAGAAGGACCGCAGCACATTAGAAGAAGAGAGGGAAGCTGAAAGTGAAGATCACTACACAGAGTGCTGGCCAAAGGTGACAATTATTCATGTCGCCTTAAAAACATAAGGATCTTCAACGTGTTTAAAAGAAATGCGATAAAATGTTGCCTCTCTGGCTCTAGAAGTGACTAGAAATTGTTTAATCTCTGGAGATTTTTAATGATTTTTGAGTAAACAAACCTTACCACTTACTGTTCTGTTTTTAATTTATTTTTATTTTTTTGGCAGTCATGGCTGGCAGCTGACTGTCCAAACCTGAGAGTGCTGTCAGTGGAGTATGACAGTCATCTCAGTGACTGGATGGCTAATTGTCCTGCTGACAATCAAAGGTGAAAAATCTGTTTTTATCTCATGTACATTTGTGATTGGCTCAGGTTGAATGCACCAAAGTACTTGAAGTGGTCATGTTGCTTTTTGCTGAAAAGGAAACATCGTTCACATGGGCGTTTTAACGTGACAACGTCACCAGTGAGAAAAACAGCATTTTTGTTCCAGACCAACGAGTTTGCAGTTATTTAGAGTTTTCTCTTTTTTTTTTCCTACGTTTGTCTCATCAGGAAGTCGTTGGCGTACAGAAGTCGAGAGCTGCTAAACAAATTAAAACTTGCAGGAGTTGGGGAGAGGCCTGTGGTGTGGGTAGCTCACAGTATGGGAGGTATTTTGCCACAAAACCTCTCTTCCTATTCCTTCAGTTCAGTTTAAGAATGTATGTTTTACTTTCATGCCCTCTTGTGTTTGATTTTTCTGTTAGGTTTACTTGTGAAGAAAATGCTGCTGGATGCAGCTGATGACCCAGATCTGCAGGGATTGTTAAAGAACACTAAGGGGATTATGTTCTATAGTGTTCCTCACCATGGCACCTTCATGGCAGAGTACTCTGTCAATGTCAGATATCTCCTGTTTCCCTCTATAGAAGTCAGGGAACTCTGCAAAGGTGAATCTCCTGTTTTCATTTTGACCTGCGTAACTCTCTGGGTTTAGTTCAGCCTCTAAAAAGTCAAATATCTGCGTGTCTAAAGACTCACCAGATCTCCGCAGTCTAAATGAGGGCTTCCTCAATATTGCCAAAGAAAATGAAATCAAGGTGCTGAGCTTTGCAGAGACCCAGCCTACAAACATCAGTCCCATGATCAAGGTTGTGGTGGTACCAACGCAGTCAGCAGGTGTGTAACACTTGACGCTATGCGACATGTGTCCTTCCGTTTCTCATTTTGAGTGCGCTTTCATTTTGTTTTAGATCTCGGCCTTGGGGAGCTTATTAAGGTGGATGTCGATCATCTCAACATCTGCAAGCCAGAGAAGAAAGACTCGTTTCTGTACAGACGCAGCCTGCAGTTCATCCAAGAAGCACTGCAGCAGTTCATCAGCCAGTGATGCAACTTCAGAAGCACAAATAACAATGATGCAACCTACTACTTGAAACTGACCATCACCCTACACCCTTAAATCAAACCTGAAACGACACCTTACCAGCTTATCACACATTAACTTGGGCACTAATCATTATGTGAGAAGTGAAATACCAATTGAATAAGACAAATGAATTTTGTTTTACCCATTAATGTCTGTGGATATGTGTCAACTGTGATTTAAAAAAATGTTGGGATTATTTTTTAGATGGGCATTTCCTGCAAATCAGACACATTTCCATCATTTTAGTTTTCACACGTCACCATTACCATGTTTACGATTAAGCTTATCCTTGCACATAGAATATAACAAGTTCTTTTTAGTCTGTAAAATACTCCTCAGTAGTTTGGACCAGACTGTTGGTGTTGAGCTTTATTTTTATATTTATAAATTGTACAAATTTTTGTGCCAAAATGTGTTCCTTTCTGAGCCTGACCTCAGAGGGCTCTGAATTAATATTACATCAGCTCTCTTATTTTATCTTGAAGATTAATCGAGCAGTAGAAATATTTTTGCTGATATAATTGATTTTCTGGCTTAAAACCTAATATAAATGCTGTTTGATGACAATAAATCCAACAAATGAGTAAAACTGGAGAACATTAGTGGGCTTTTTTCTTCTTTTTTGACATCACTTATTCAATGTTTTGTGTTGCACTACAGTAAAACCTATCAACTCTTTTCTTTGGGGATAACAGCAGATGAAGAATAATAAATATTATGCATCAAAATGGGTTATAAAGAAAATTATTAACATATCCTTAGAAATGATCTCTTGTAAACTATATCTTTAATCGGGTGAAACGGATGAAAGGGGTTTCTCAAATGCGAATGAACAACAGTTGTCCTTTGTCGCACGCCGTACATTTGTCACTGTGAAAGTTGGAGTGGTTACTACCAGCTGCTCAGGAGTCAATTACCGTAATTGTACAGAAATCTGGAATATAATCAGGTACGTTGATGCATGATGAGTTAATTGATACGTTAGACATTTAAAGCAGTTGTTTAGCCGAACAAATCTCTCGCCAAATGATGCATTTACTTAGCATTAGCAAGGTTAGCTAAGATCAGACAACAGATGTTTCGTAAAAGAATAACTGGTTCTCTGTATGTTCTCCTGTTTCATTGGTTACATTCAAATTCATTTCCTTTATTTATATAACAATCAAACTGCTAACTATGAACTGTGATTAATGTCGTATTTCCTTTGTGCTGCCGATTATTTAGCCCATTAGTTGGCTGCGGCTGAGGAAGTGCGTTGTTGATCACCTCTACGTGTGTCAACATGGTAAACGTCCACAAAGGAGTCCTTGTTGAATGGTAAGTGAGAACCTCAAGTCTTCTTGCAGAAGTCTGAAAGTAATACTGGAAAATACACAATTTGAAAGAATTACATTTAGTATTTTAAACACAAAACCAAAACAATAACAATGTTAGTAATACAAAAAATGTCAGCCCAGTACCATGGTTTCCTTACCAGCTACGTGCATGACTTTAGCACTATATATTTTAAATTCTGCCATCTGAACAACTACTTAGTGTTTTTTTTTTTTGTTTTTTGTAAATGAACTTTCGTTTCTTCTCTACCAGCGATCCTGCCATGAAACAGTTCCTCCTCTACCTCGACGAAACGATGGCTTTGGGAAAGAAGTTTATCTTAAAAGATCTTGATGACACGCATGTTTTCATCCTGGCAGAGGTGGTTCAAATCCTGCAGGAAAGAGTCGGCGAGTTAATGGACCAGAATTCATTCCCCATCACACAAAAATAACAATCTATAGAAGAAAAAAAAAACTCCTGTACTATGGACTGGTTGGCATTGTTTTGGGGTTTTTTTTTAGTTGGTTTGCAGCCATTTGCTCAACTGGAAGAGCTGCTGATTATTTCTATGAAAACTCATTTACGTTGTAGCTGCTCAGTAAGTTTCTCTTTATTGTGTTGGATTATCTAAAGCCGCTAAGTGTTGCATAGAAATAATTCTTAAAGGAAAAGAGACAAAACTTCACAATAATGCTTCTTTGGAGGTGATCCCTGACAGAACATTTGGAGATGGTAATTAAACCCAAGAAAAGAACCAGAAATTGGCAGTAACATTGATTTATTTTATTTTTCAAAAGTTGTTTCTAAATAAAATTACTCCACCTGGAGACAAAGCCTTCTCTTTTCATGGGAAATATAATGTACAAGCATCCCCCCCCCCCCCCCAAAAAAAAAAAAAATCCCAATTTTGTTGTATAAGGTCTCTGTCTTTATTTTTTTTCTAACCAGATATTGTTTAAAAATAAAAACAAAGCTATAGTTTGTTTTTTTTACGGAGCCCTCCTGGGGACATGAGGATTTTTTTCCCCCTCTCATGTCCCCTGGAGGGCATTTAGACATACCAGCATTGTGCTCATGCCTCATTGATCACATTTATTCATTTTATGTTTCTTGACTTTGTATTGGCTTCTACTCATCTGTATTTCTGAAACTTTGACCTGCTCAAAAACAGGCTTTTAAGTTTACCTTAGTAAGACTGTCTGGTTTTGGTTCAGCTCATGAATGAGTACTTCAGGTTACAGTTTTTTTGTTTTTTCCCGAGTCGTTCTGCAGTTTTGTTTGATTATGGTGCAGTTTGAGCCGTTGCCTAAAGGGGGCGCCAAACAACATTTTGAAAGCCTCGATTTTAATCAAGGGACAGAAGCTAAAACGACTGCTGAAAGTTTGCGGCGATAAACTATTCTAGAGTTCCGGTTATTTTCAAAAATAAGATTACTAGTAGTTTGCAACTATAACTGAGTTTTCTTGCAGCTTCCATCAAAAACATTTGTGCCGCTCTAATTTTAAAACATTTAGAATGCGTACACAATAAAAGTGATCATCTCCTTTGAGAGTCGTAAAAAGCCTGTTTTTTTTTGTTTTTGTTTTTTTTGCATTTGTGCCCATCTCGTTTCTACGTGTTTCTCTTTTTTATAGTTACATTTAACTTATCAATGGTCCCAATTAAAAACGTATTTACGGGGGAGGATTTAATTTGTCCATGACGTGTCCATTTGTTTTATTTTGAAGATAATTTTATAGTGATTCTAGTTCCGGTTTCTGAAACATTAGCAACGATGGACGATTTTATGAGTGAAGATAAGGTATGTTGTGCTCTCAATATTCGTCTCTTACTGGAGTGAAAACTTTAATAAATCTGATAAATACTATATTTGTATAATGTACATGTTTAAATATGCGCAGTATTTGATGCTACAAAGGGCACTTGTCCCTCTGAGCAGCTCCGTGGGTTGGCTAGCTTGTTAAACTGTTTTGTTTTTTGCAGACCACGTTCATTGTCGAAGAAGTGAGCAAGATCATAAAAGATGTAAGAGAAACATCCGCCTTTGTAATTGTTAATAAAATCTGACAGTGTTATTTAAAGGAACTATTCAACCCTGTTCCTGCGAAATTTGTGATTAGCGATACCTGGTTGCTAAGAACACTAACGGTTGCTAGGCACCGTTTTTATTCTCCTTTTCATTGGTAGGGACCAAAACATATACCGGAAGCAGAACTTCTCCATTAACTAACGTTTTCTAGGTGTTTATAAGATCGGTGAACATTGTCTGGTCCTGTGCAGTCTGTAGAAACGGTGATAGGAGAAAACTCCTACAAGCACGGCAGAGTGAACCAGTGGACCACCAGCGTGGTGGAGCAGTGCCTCATTCAGCTCAGCAAGCTGGATAAGCCGTTCAAGTTCATCGGTATATAGATCTCCTGATTTAAGAATGGCATTTCTAGTCCTTGTGTTTCTGAACACCGTGTGTGTTTGCTTCAGTAAACTGCATCATCATGCAAAAGAATGGAGCAGGGCTGCAAACAGCCAGCACCTGCTTCTGGGACAACACTACTGATGGTAAACGCACTTCTCTTTTTCTTCAAATCATACAGCTTATGAATATTATTTAGTATCAGCTTTAGTGTTTCAAATTTGAAACACTAAACACTTGTTTATAAAAGCTTTTCCACAAGCTTTTATAAACAACATGGTTTAAAATCGTACAAATGATGTCAATTTTATTTTTAAATGACAAATTAATTTTTTAAACATCAGGACTGCCATAATTAGTTAAGTTTAGAAAGCAATTACCTTTTCCCACACAGGATCAGGTTAGATAACTTCTGTCCTTTAATAAATGAAATTCTTTGAAAATGCCTTTTTGATGGTACCCAAGTTATCCATTTCTGATTCTAACATATGATCTGAAACATCATATGTTTCAGATCATATGAAGAGAAGTCCTAAGTAGCAAACACATTTTACAGCACTTTTTGCATATTTGTATCCAACAGGAAGCTGCACAGTGAGATGGGAAAACGACACTATGTATGTCATCATCAGCGTCTTTGGGCTGGCCATCTAAAACTAAAGCATAATTAAAACTCCGTTAAATTTTCTTGTTTTACACAAAGTAGAATGTTGGATGAAATTTTATGAAATGTTATTTGTATAAGTGCAATTAAACAACCTTAATATGTCTGTATCCACTTTGCTTTATTTCCACATCACATAACACTGCCATATTTACAGCCTTGAGTCAACAAAATCAAACTAATAACGTTTGAAAAAACAACCATGTTTAGCCAACATAACCGACATTTACAAGGAATTCCACTTATTTACATTTAGAGATCTGAGATTGGAGCCCATTTACAAGAGAAAAGGAGTAAAGACAAGGCACCAACTTGTTTAAAACACATCCATATTGAACAGAAATACATTTATTTTGGTTGTTTTTGTCCATAAGCTCCTGACTCTTAAAACAGAAGAGAGCAACAAGAAGAACATTGGCAATATCAGTAAAGTTCTGAATTAAAAAAAGGCTCAAGGAAGGCAAAAATGTTTGGGCCACTGTTCTGTACATGCTGGGATAAGAATTGAGTAACTAGCTGGTTGGAAGATGATCTTCCACAACTTATCCTACAAAACAGTATCAAATCACTGTTTGGCAAATTAAATAAAACTTGAAAAGTGCACATTTACAGCTGCTTTTCTAAAGTGGTAATAGTAGTGGTACCTGTTGAAATTAAGGCTCTTTTATAACATCCCCTTTATCTGAGGTTAAAGAGGTTTTATGATTGGATTCCCTGAAGCATAATTTACTTCCTACCTAAACTGATGTTAGTGAGTTGCATCTTGCAGTGGTTTCTTACTGTCAGAGTGCCAAAAGGCAAAAAAGGAATGATATAAAGTAGTCAGACAGACAGTAATTTGACATAAAGCTTTAAAATGTTTCAAATCGGAACTTCAACTCTATGACACCTTTCCTGTTTGCTTCAATTAATCAGGATTTGAAGTCACACATGAGTGCTTATAACACCAGTAAAAACTGTTATACATACATGTTGCTTTTGTGTGAGTTGGTTTACTCACCTTTCAAAAGTACAGTACATTCAGCAAAGATGTAATTTATCTTCTTTTAAAAATATATATATATATTTATGTACAGTTTTTTTTGTTTTGTTTTTTGTTTAACTTCATAAGAGCAGATGCACACAAATGATAATCTCTGAATCCTCGTGGTTTCCAACCCCGAAGAGACAAGAGAAGTGATCTGCCAACGGATGCATCAGTCACTGTCGCTGTCGTCCTGGTACTTTGTCGTTACTTTGTTGGCGCGTCCATTCTGTAAAGGCATCTCCTCATAGTCACTTCTGCATAAACACACACACATCTGTTAGGATTGCATCTTATCACGCACCTGGAAAAGGGAAGAAAACGTTCTGGAAAACATTTACCCGTAAATTACTTCATCGTCTGAGTCGTTCAGCATGGAGAAAGCAGGGTTATCCTTCAGCTGCGAGTCTGGGAAAGTTGGATTAATGAATCAATTTAAAATGTCCTATAGTCCAAAAGATGCTCCAGTTTATCACGAGGTATCACTTACCATAAAGGGCATTTTTTGAGGGAGAATACACAAATGCTAACGTGTATAAATAAAAGTTGAGCAGGCCATAAAAGGATAAAAATTCAGCTGGTATATCTGGAATTAAGGACAAATACAATACCTACATGGAGTTTTCCAAAAGATTTTGCATATTTTAACAAAATACAAAGGATATAGTTCTGGTAATGGGTAGATAATTCAGCCACAAAATTATCCTGAAGAGCCTTGGCACCAAACCTCAGGTACAGAATGACCATGCTGGAAGAAAGAAGGATTATTAAAAAAAACTGATTTTTTTTTATTTTTTATTAAAAAAGCAGCCTAACTTGAACGTACCTTATAACAAGAACTACAAACGTCAGCGCTGTCAAAAACTTAAGCCGAAGATCTAGAGATAAAAGAGGTACCGTTTATTCATGCTGCCAGGGCTAAAACCCAACACTGAAACAAAAAACAGAGAAGTGAGGGATTCTGGGATACCTGAGTAAGGCATGTTCTTCAGTTCAGAACAAGCTCGGACAATTAGGAATATCAGGTACAGGATGTAGAAGGCAACAACGATCAGGAAGAACACCTTCATGCCCTGATGAAGGATGAGAGGAGATTGTTTACTACACTATAGAATTTTGTCATGAAAAGTTGTTTAAAATTTGGTAAAGTTCAAAAAAGTTCCAGTTTTACCTGGAAGTTCGCAATGTCCAGTTTGTAGTTAAAGGTGGGATCCTGGAGCTCGTTAACGCTGAAAAAGAGAAGTAGAGCTCTTCAGTTCTGTTAGAAGTCACAGTTTGAAAGAAGCTGAGAATATTTGGCGATTCCCGCTTACGTCTGCCATACGCCAAGCGTGACGGCAGAGAGCCACAGCAGACCCACGATGATCAGCTTGGGCAGGTAGAAGGTGAGGAATTTCCTCTCGCCCTGAAAAAGGAACAATAACAGAATCAGCAATCGGTAGCAAATAAGGGAACATTTAGTGGACTAATGCAAAGAGCGACTGCACCCACCTGAACCCTGATGCCGTGGTAGACGCAGAGCCAGAAGAGGAGCAGGGAGCACAGGAAGAGAGCCTGGAAAAAAGCATCCAAGGTCCCTGGAAACCAGCTGTTCACCAGGAATGACAACGGGAAGAACGGATCTGGAAAAACAACAAAAATACAGAACCTCTTAAAACTCTAGCATTTCCCTTGTGTATTCACATCTGCTGCAAAGTTGAACAAACAATCAGATTTTTAGCTTCATATGTCATTCTGTTACCTCTTGAGATGTCACTTTGATTAAATTGCTACGGTTAAAGAGCATTTTAACTAAGCATCGGTTCACGTCTAACATCTGATGACCTCTAGAAACCATTCAAAATGATAGTGGCACAAACAAGCGCAATCATTAGACAAAAATTTAGTTTAATTTGAAGAAGGTTGGGAGGCCATCTTCACCCAGGTGTGAAATTGGATAGAAAATGGAAACTCACCATTGTAGAGCAGCAACAAAGGAAGCAGAATCGACATCCACTTCTGCTCAATACCCCAATCCCTCATGGAAAACTTCCTCAGAGAGTGTGCAAACAAACACTAGAATATAAAAGGGATATTGTTACTGTCGCACTTTGCTATGTTCAGACTGAGCTGGCAACCTTAAAATATTTCAAACCTTGGAAGCAAACTTTCTTACCGTTACCATGAAAGTCAAAACCACAAAGACAAAACGGAACCAAATTTCCACTTGAGAGAAGGTGGGGTTGTACGTTTTCCACTATGGGTGGAAATAAATTCAAGAGAATGGGAAAAGACATTAAACAGAGAAGCGATTAAAAACATCAAAAGAAAAGAAAAATCAGTGACTTCCACTCACCACAAACTTAACCTTGATTTCATAAGAGATGTTTTCAAGGCCTTGGAAGCTGACTGCAACCCGATACCGAGTGTAGTTCAGGTAACCCAGGTGCAGCACAATGATCTCATCACATTTCTGCTTCATAGGCGAAAAACGGAAAACTGCATAACTTTACTGAACGCCAAAAAAAAAAAAAAAAAAAGTCATCAAGTTCTTGCGCGACACTCTGATCTTGTGTGTTGACTTACAACGCCACAGTGCAGCATCCGTGATTTCTGCTGCACGCTCTTGATGTGCGTCACACTGGCGTCCTGCATCGTTCCTTTAAGATCGACGTTGATCTCAAAGTTCTGCTTGAAGTCTTTCACTGATGCAGACAGAAGTTTGGCTTTATTAGGCAGGTAAAAAGATCGATAGCGCAGCTTTCAGAGCGCATTCAGATGTGAAGGCAAAAGTGACGTACTGTTGCTGTTTCCAGCCTGCATCACACAGGTGAGCCACAGCTGCTGGTTGTAGGTGGTGAGAGTTGGAGAATCTAAACTAAATGGTCCAGTCTGAAAGCATCAATGACACAACAAATTAAGATTAAATAATTACAAAATGTGAGAAATTCCACAGGATATCTTTATTTGGGTTGTGTTGGGGAGAATTTGTGGCTTTTTATTGATGGTTTCATCGCTGCTTTGGACCTTCGTGAAAAATCACGTATTTGTTGGAAAAATTATTTTCTTCCAAATATTTGAACTCAAACAATACTAATATTTCTGCTACCAGGTCCAGAAAAATAATAATAATAATAATAATAATAATAATAATAATAATAATAATAAAAAAATTTGGTTAATGGTTTATTGCTTCACATCTTTGTAATAGGCCTCGAACAGTCCGAGATCTAAACCAACAATATTGTTGGTTTAGATCAAATATGCTTTATGCGTAGACAGGTAACTATTAAAAGTATTGTGAGATGTTTTGGCAATATACGCTCCTTTGTTCTAGAAATGTCTCACCTTTATTGAACTATTTATGTTTTTTAACTGATCAGCATTATGCTCCTGCTCAGCGATAATCCTTGGACCTAAAAAAGTAAACAAACACAGAAATTATTTATCTCAAATCAAAACCCCACGAAGAAAAACACATCAGATGCGTCAGGCAGGAAGACAGAGATTCAATTGAACCAATGCTGCTGAGCAGTTTTACTGCGAAAAGATGCAGCTTGTTGTAAAGAATTATGAAAACGTATACAATCGTGACGCTAGCTCCGAGCCTGGAAGTTCATAACCTGAACTGAGTTATGTTGCTATGGAGATGACTGAAAAAGTCATTTTGTGACTTTACAAACAAACCTTAATTTTATTAGGATTTTAGGTGATAGGTTTAGAAATGATTGTGCATTAATGGAAAGCAGGGGAAAAAAATACAGATGGTTTTATTTCCATCCCAGTCTAGGGCTATAAAAGTAAAGGGGGCCGCATATAAATGCAGCAGACAAATTTAAAAATGTGTGGTTGTAACAGAAAAAGTGTATGCCATCATTCAAGCTGAACTAATAATCTGGCAATTAACTAAAAGACCAGAGGAACAGAAGATGATCGCCAATATATCTATACATCTCAAGCTTTATCCCACCATCAATTGTGAACAAGATACCAGGATATCCTTGAAGGGGAAGCAGTGAGTATTCTCAAATTTGACCTGCGCATTTAAGCTTTTGAGTCTCACATGCTGCATTCAACGCAAATGAGAATGATTTTGTGGTTCACG